CCCCAGCGCATCATCCCTTCGGCTATGGAGCCCCATCTGCTCCTCCCAAGGTTGCTGGAGGCTGCCCCTGATAACCAAAAGCCTGGATAATCCCACTGTCCCTCCGTACGAGAGACAGAGGGGCTATGCCTCGATCAGTCTCGTCAGGTATGTTGCGTAGCTTTCGCCAGTAGATCGCCCACACATCAACACCCTTCCCTCCACAATCAAACTGGATTGCTGGGTGGGGACCGGGGGGGCTGGGTAGCGGAAGTACATTGGTCAGGATCGTGGGAGGGAGAAGGGGGGGGGGAGGGCGACCTCCAAGAATAAGTGCCTATGGACTACCACCTGAAATTTAAGGAATGGCTGACTGTGAACCCCAGTATCCCTATGCGACCTGCAGAAGAGTTCCCAGACCCGTTTCCCCCCCACCCATATGCCTTGGAAGTATGTTCCTGTAGCTGACTAACATATATGAGATGCAGTCAATTCCTGTCTTCCTCTATCTTTCACTGTCATTCCCCCAATTCTGGTCCAAGTGGTGACGCCGCCCTCCCTACTCGCTCTGAACCTGCTAGTTTTCTTGTTTGTGGCTCAGTCAGATTAGGCTACAGTCCCTGCTCTTTCATCCGGGCGCAGATATGAGGTGATAGGGAAGCAACTCTGTTTTTTCGCGTATTTAGTCTGTGTTTCTTCCTCGTCAACTCTGTTCTGGCGTCGTTCTGTTTTACAGTCATCTGGGTGATAGTTGCCAACAATGGGGGGGGACGATTTTAGGACAGGAATGACAGACACCATACAATTTTCGTTTGGGCAAGGGTACGGAAGGAAACACTGGTGCCCCCCAGCGTTCCTCCCGGACCCCTGCCCGGACACGGGAAGGTGGATGGAGAATGAGGTCTTCCAGGCCTTCAGGCGAACCAGTCTGATATAGGGTGAAGTGGACTATCAGGCATTCAGGGGGAAACCGGTCCTTCAGCAGCAGTGATTTGGCGCCTGGTGCAAGGCGACGAGGTTTACTCCCTGCAGCTCAACATTCTGTGCAGACGATCTTCTGACGGAAGCTCTCATCCCCTGAAGATAGCGTTCACCCTTTTGAAGACAGCACATATCTCAGTCAATTTCTACCACAGCCTGCTCAGTGGCAGGTCTTTTTCTCATCTCCTGAAGATGGCGTTCACCCTTTTGAAGACAGCATATATCTCAGTCAATTTCTACCACAGACTGCTCAGTGGCAGGTCTTTTTCTGGTCCTTTTTTCATCACTGCCAATGACCTGCTCAGTCAATCCCCTGGAGTCCAGGGTTATCAATGCTGGCAGGAACGGTGATACGTATCCTTTGTTTTTACTTAGTTGTTCATAGTTGTAGGCTTGTAGCCTCATATCTTTGTTTCTTTTCTTCATCTTTTTTTTTTTTTTTTTTGTTTGGTGTGTGTGTTTGTGTGTGTGTTTCTTACTTTCTATTCATACTTATTGAACAGTAAGGTACCGTGCACCACCCTTTTTTTTTAATTATTTTCTACAAATGAAAAAACACCTGCACATCCCTATGCCTACCATCTGAAGATGACAGAAACTGTTACAGCTGTGTGCGAAATGTTCACAGCAAAATGGACGTCTGGCCGAAAGGACCAGTGGCCCAGTGCAGGTGGGATCTCCATCACCCCTTGGCTCTTCGGCTGGAGAATCTGGTAGATTTTAAACCACCAGTACCTTTCCCATATGTCAGCCGCAGGCAGTGTCGGAGGCCCGAAACAAAAAACCGGCCAAACCGGCCACCTATTCGATTAATCAACGGCAGGCCTTCCCCACTTGGCTACCGCATTACCCATTGCGTCTGAGATTTCAAGCAGGGAAAGGTACTGGTGGTTTAAACCTGCTTGGTGGTAGAAGGGGAAGGCTTAGCTAGAATACGAATGCTTTCCAGTGCGGGCTTGATAGTGTAGTCTACATCCACCAGTACCTTTCCCATGTATAGGCTCAGGGCCTGGTCTCGCTCCTCGGAGAAAAATGAAACAACACGGATGTATCTGGCTGGCGCCGCCAGCCATTTAATTCTCCGCCAAACTTCGGTGTTAGCTGCCGCGGTATGCTTTTCAAGCGGGGAAAGGTACCTGTGGTTTAATTCAGAGTGCCGGTCACATACGGTGTAAATAGACAGGCGCTTAATATTTATTTCATGTGCAGACACTAGCTTCATAGAGCTAGGAAACCAGGCAGGACTCGTTAGGCGCGGCACTTGTGGTGACAGGCTCAGAAGCTTTTTTTTTTTTTTTTTTTTTTTTTTTTGGTGCCTATTGAAACCATGGAAGTCACACAAGCCTATTGCAGTGGAAGTCACACAAGCCTATTGCAGTGGAAGTGCCTTGCTAATAGAATGGCACCCTGGGGCAAGGTCCTACTAGCAACGAGGATTGTATTAAATATTAACACCTGCCTGAGAGTGGGGACCTGTTTGTGACGAGGTGCAGAAAATCGTGATTGAACTGCTTTTCCTTTTTTTCTTTTTTCTCTTTTTTTTTCCAACCAATTTCGGTATGATCCCGGCACACCGGCCAGGTTCATACCGAGGTCTCCTTTTTCTTACACGGACTGGAAGTCGCCTTTTTCTTATACAGACCGGAAAACGGGTCCGACATCCCTCACATTAAAACACAAGGTTTCTGGCCAAAAATCCCGACCATGATCAAGAACGTACAAACACCAAACCTACGCTATTAAAACCAACAACAAAGCCAGAAATGCTGTCATCAGCTATTACCCCCCCTGCAGAACCGCCTGCCACCCCCACGGCAGGGGTCCGTATCCAGACCCCATGAAACCCACCCACCTCCTCGCGACTCAGGGCAGATCACACCTCCACACACACTCTCCATTACCAAAGGCACCAACTCGCACCATGATGGAGCTATTGCAAACCAGCAGATGTGCCCTACCACCCAGAGGCCAAAGAACCCGCGAAACCCTCCCTCCTCCTTCAAGTTGCGATTTAGGGCACTCTGCCACCGCAATCATCTAGGCCCCGTGACAGAGCATCACCGCCCTCCACTGTGAAGCCCCGGCGGGGCTGTGCTCACCAATTTTCGTCTAAAGATCAGATGAACGCAAGACCCGAACAAAATGCAGAAGGACAAAAGCACAACAGCAAATGTCACCCAACCAACAGAAGCATCTCACCTCCTGCACAACAATGATCTATGGCCTACAAAATCCGAAGTAGGTACTAGTCCAAGCGAACAGAAACAAACCCTAAAAAGACATCCTACCCTACTGAAGAACATACACCACCAAAGCAGAACAGGCCAAAATTCAAAGTATGGAATTCATAAGTCGGTCTACCTACAATAAAATCGCCGAACAGTAAAGCCAGCTAAACTACTTCGCCTAAAGC